GCCTCTGAAAAAGCCTCTTCTCCACGCTCTTCATGAAATGCATTCCGATCCTTGCCGGCAGCAGGGTTATTATCCCTCTCCCTTTATCTCCAGCTTGAGGAGACAAACTCCAAGACGTTTTTGTCCCTTATCTTCCTCCCCATCAGCATTCAGATATCCATGTCTCAGTTCCCTGGAGGCTGGAAGTGGAGCAGAGAGATTCCTGGGTGTTCAGAGTTTCCTCCACTCACTCCAGTGGCGGGTCAGAGTTCAAAGGCGTCTGAGATCTGCATCTGTAGCCACTCGACTGTCAGTCAAAGCGACCAGCCAGCCGCACCCTAATGTGTATTAGCAAGACAAAGAGGGGCTGGGCTTTGATTTGTCTGAGATTTATGGGCATGATGAAATCAGGCCTGATACGTGGTTTTCCCATTTTCTGTATCATTTACTAAGATCTAAATGGACTGCTTTTGTTCCAGGACACGGACGCCTGGGATGAAAAGGCAATACATTGAAAGGGGGGCGGTGAGGGGAGGGTTCCCGGCTGACCGGAGATGCTCTTTTCAGGTTTCCTTCAGCTGACGTGGGCCAGCGTGGATCAAAGAGGAGGGATCACAGGAGAAGAAAGAACACACTGGGTCCTTCAGAGGTCCCGTTCTACTTCAACTCCATGTCAAGATGTTTGCTAAGCACATGATGAAACGTTCATGGGGCTTTAAGTTAACATATCTAAACGCCTAACCATAAAGGAAAGAATGAATGTAGTAAAAAAAAGAAAACTAGCTTTGTGTTTCAACTTTGAATATGGGATACCATAAAGACGTAAAATGACATAAAGTGCGATCACATTTGTTGTTGTTTCGCTGGCGAATCCAGTCATTTCAATAAGAATTCACCTGATTTGAGAGTTTTGCGAAAAGGCGAACAATTTTCCCAAGCTGATTTCACAACGGGTTCCAGTTGTTTGCACGGACTGACCAACAGAAGCTGAGTTGAACGTACATGAATGTTAGCACAAAGTGGGAATTTTTCTTTAAGCCCTTCGTTTTTGAATTTTTATTTTTTTCATTTACAAAAAGCCCAAGTTGCATGTACAAAATACCATAGTACTGAACGATTACGATAGAATATATAACGGTTCAATTTACACCACTTAATAAACTGAAAAAGCAAAAACATCAGATGCACATTCTTTATTCAACAATTTGTTGAACAAGAAAAATCTTGTTAAACGATGTAGAAAAGGTACATGGCCAACTTGCTCCAACCAAAGTGATCTGAAAGCTCCTGACGTCATAGAGACTTCCCAACTTGTAAATAAGAACTTCCTAGGACAATATGACACCATCAGGGGCGATTCTAGGATTTTCATTTTAGGGGGGCTCAATATATATATATATATATATATATAATAAAAAATGTTTACTAATTGACTAATATGACTAATTGGGGTGGTATGCTAAATTTATATACCAAAAAGTGCAGTATATTTCACTGTATTGCATAGATAGGTATAACATAACTGAATAAGCTAAATACAAGTCTTCATGATCTCTCACACACACACCTGTTTACTGTTCACACACAAAATTTTACTGTTTGCATTTCTAGTACAACCCTCTTTCCTTAGCTCAAGTATGCAAATCTCTTTGCCACATGCACTGGAAAATGTATTACATTGAAAGTTACATTTTCAAATGAAAATGGCAACACGATCGTTTTATATATATTATATGCGTTCATATGTGCTTCATTTTCACTGGAGGAAAAAAATGGTGTGATGAGGGGTGAACGCAGCGAAAACTTCGGCTACAGTAGATGGGGAACCCATTGATATTTTGTAAACTGTATTTATGACAAAGAACAGAACTGCACAGATGCAAATATTATAACAATCTATCGATAAACACACACCTTGTCCTCTGTTTCTCGCTCTGCGCCGCGGTCTGCGGATTGAAAAAGAACATGCTGAAAGACGGCAAGGAGTCGATCGAAGTCTGCCGCCGTTTATATAGCCGCCGGCTATAGCCCCCCTAAAAATGGCCTAGCAACGCCCATGGACACCATTATAATAACTAAGCAAATATACTGCCTAATTTACAAATGTAGTAGATCATCTAGGTACTCTAAGCATACACAAAAGTTGCATAATGTGCACAGTACTGCAGAAAAAGTAACAGTGGTATGCTATATCAAACATACCCAATGTCCTCTTCATTGTTAACCCCTCAAATACACCTCACTGATTCCCAGATGAAAGTCTCCATGTCCTGTTGTAAATACTGTTCGGCCCTCATGACCCACTAGGTGATAAATAATCTCTAAGGTTAACCATGTTTGAAATGGAGCTGTGAGACCATTATGGCCCCCCAGTGTTTTTTCACATTACCAAAATGTTATCAGCACGCTCTGCCTTGGTTGAGCACTTTTGATGGTACATGTTTTGTGTTAAGAAACAGACTGGGTGGTTACTCAAGTGTGTGTAAAACAAATGATGCTTTTAGAAAGTGTTGAATCACATCTGTGTCTGTGAGGTGTGTCGGAGGGTTGATGTGAATGTTAGGATAACTTGTGGAAGGTCGTGGCATAGAAGCTGGTTTTTGTGTGAGTGGTTTTGCACATTGAGTAATTTGTTATAATCTATCTAGTGGTGTTTATTGAGAAGTGTTTTTTTTTTGTTTGTTTTATAAAAAGTACGATAAAAATAAAACTTACCACTGATCCTACTACTTATGATAATAATTATTAAAGGATTTGACATGCAATGTTGGTGAACATTACCAGACAACTTTGAGGCATGTAAAACCCCACCAAATTGTGAGCTAACATCTCATCACTGTTTTAGACTTTTAGGTGATATCCACTTTAAACTTTAACTAATGATGTTATCTACAGTATTTCCATATCTCTGACAGCAATCGAAGCTTCAAACAAGTGTCTGGCGCCATCTAGTCGTCAATTCTAAAACAGCTGAAATGTGAAGAGTGTGGTGTGTGTGTCTTATTTATTGGTTATATTATTATTATTCATATTATTATTTAATATATAATTATTAATGCATTATCAAATATTTTGTATCTATTTATTTTATTGACTCATTCATTCATTTGGTCTCTTCAAACAGATACCCCTTACTAGCGAGTTATATGATAAGGTTTAAATGTCAGCATTTACAGTAATTCGTTCTGACTGTTAGATTGCTGATTCTGCAGCTGTAGTTTTTACATGAAAATGAATATTTGTAGGATTGGCCATATTAGGAATAGATCACAAATTTCAACAACGGCTACTGGATGAATGTTTGCTGGCTATGTATAGGCCTATAAATCTCAAACAAGAGTGTTTTATTTGTTTATTTTTATTGTCTATCTGGTATTGGCCTATAATAGTAATTATTATGCGTTATTATGCTTGATTATGCTGTTATTATGCACACACACACACTGGTTTCCATGTTTTGGGGACATTCCATATAATGGTTTTTATACTCTACAAACTGTATTTTCTACCTTACCCTAGCTAGCCCAACCCCTAAACCTCTCACACAAAACTTTCTGCATTTTTTAGATTTTCCCAAAAATTTATTTAGTATGATTTATAAGCTTGTTTCCTCATGGGGACCAAACAAATGTCCCCACTAGTTCAAAAATAGTGGTATTACTATCTTTGTGGTGACATACACACACAAATTGCTTACTTCCGTGTTGCAAAATAAGGTGGCTTGAAAGAACATTCAGGACTATAACCCAACAGCCTAGTCACGGCCCTCATCTCAAATGAAGCTTCATGATTTCATAAGAATGCTGGGAATGTTTTATTGTTATTCTGAGATCTCCCAATGTAATTCCGGTTTTCATTTCACACTGAAACTTGCGCATTTAAAAACAAATAGTTTTGTTTAGTCCTGTCAATAACTGCATTCAGACAGACAACTTTTAAACACAGACTTTTCTTTACTCGCGTTTTGGTTTCTGATCCTCCAGACTCTGAGATGACTCACATGTAGCGCATGAAAAGTCATCACTGTGTCACATCTGTTTTTCTCCTCCACTGACTGAAAGCCTGACCTCAGTCTCTGTGCTCCCCTTTGGGAGGGGTTTACTTGACTTTTCAGATTTGTCTACATTGCATTTCTAGCTGGACACCAAAGGATAGCTACCACTTCAAACAGTCTCTATTACTGTATAATGCAGCACCTCAATGCTAATTGTGCCCACTTTGCATAGGTCTTGAGCTGCATCCCAAATGACGCACTATACGCTATGTTCTTATGCATTATGTACTCAACCATGTAGTGTATGAATTATATACGGTTATTTTGTCACTCATGATCGGAGTCCGACAGCCCCTCACCCTTCGGTACGTAATTAAAGCTGCGACACTGAGACAGTGGAATGCTGGACATGAAGTGTTTTCAGTGGAAGTGGACATTTTCAGTGTGAACACACTACTCGCACTGTTTATGCTATAAACGTCATAGAATAGTGCATAAGTACGTGATTTGGGACGCACATTTGATCTTCCTGAAGTATTGAAAATTGAGACAAGGAAAAAAATTAGATATTTATTTTTTTCTTAAACAAACAAAAAATAATACAGAAAGACGACATCTCATAAAGTGATATAATCACAGGTAAAATATGCGTTATAAAATGTTTTTGTGAGATTTAACACACCATTTGAGCCTATAAGGTATATCTAGCTATAACGTTCAGCAATGGTAAATACATAGCACCATTTCCAAGACTTTTCAAACACATAACAACACCATTCTGTTTTATTATTCCGGAATTTGGACATAAGAGAAATTTCAAGTCGACGTCAACAAATACAATTTATTATGACATTTTAAAACAAGATATTTGATTATAACACACAAAACAAAAAGAGATTGATACTTTTCCTATATCTCTCCTCCTAATTCTTAAAAAGTCAGGGCCTTCATTGACACTTCATAGCATTACTATTTACAAAAAAAAGCCATATAAATGTGATATAAATAGGCTCACCAGTGTACACTCGTCATGCACACTGTCTTTGCTGTATTCAATCTTCATGAATTGTCAGTTTCTTTGATCACATTAGGTCTAAATATTCAGGCTTGGAGGAGACGGCCGTTAGGTTAGAGTCTGTCATCTGAGTAGTGTTCTCAGTTCTACAACAATCCCTGAGGGCTGAACACTCATTCTTTCTTCCTCAGGACAATGTAAATGAAGCCACTGATGAGTGTGAGAGGGAAAGCCAGCCAGGCCAGGACGAAGGCATATCCATAACCATCACTCTCATTTTTCCACTCTGGACTCATCACCGTGTAGATGATGGCCGCGCTCATCACAAACAGACCTTCGGGAGACAGAAAGAGAAAGAATAAAAACATGTAGACGGGGTCCTTCAGCTGGGACAAGAGAAATGGGATCTAATAGACCCGGAGAGGAAATACTTACTGGCAAGGACCTGGAAGACGGCCGTGAAAAAGAAGCGACCTCCCTTTACAAGAGTGAAGAGCTGGCAGAGGAAGATGATGAATGAGATCAGGCTGAAAATGGTGGCTAGGACCATGAGGGCTTGAACTGCTTGAAGCCAGTCTGACAGATTGTAGAGAAACACAGACGGAAAATCAGAATGAACACTTACATAGATAGTATAAACATATACTATTCTTAAGTCATATGTTTCTCTTTCTCAAATAAGAACACATTTCGTTGTTGTACTGTTGATGCGCCCATTTGGAACTTTTAAATAACTATGGAACTATGGAATATTAGACTCAGTTTTAAAATCTAAGACTTTTTAAAGACTGTTTGAACTCACCAGCATCACTAGTCCCACGGCAGTGATATCCTCCATTACTTTGTGTGCAGTCATACCAGAGGTCATAACTCGTAACTCCATGCGTTCTCCAGGCCTGTGTTTTTTTTTTTTTTTTTAAAAAA